TAGGGAGAAAAGAGAAGCCGGAGCAGGGCAATTAGCAGCCCCAGTGCTGTAAAAAGAGTGGCCCATCCCTGGCATTATGCGATGGAAAGAGCCGACAAGTCTCATGGGCGTGAGACAAGATGGGCCCCAGTGAGAGTTTCAGGGCTGTTCATGTGCAGAACTCTCTCTCGTGCCTGCCGTCTGCGCTAGTCTCTCTAACTGCTGTACTCTGCGCTGTGTGCATTAGACCGTGGGGGAGAGGCTAGACGAGCACATCAAGACCGTAGACAGGCATCTGGACAAGCACATTGGGACCTTAGGCACATGGGTCGACCAACACCTCTGGAGCCTCAACAAATGGGTGCAGGAGCACATGGGCACCCCAGACAAGTGGGTGGATGAGCATACAGAGGACCTGCTTGGTTGGCTGGATGAGCACGTTGGGGCCCTCGACAAGTGGTTGGACAGACACGTTTGGACCCTGAACACATGGCACGAGGAGTACATTGAGGCTCTTGACAAGAGGCTAGGTGAGAACGCTCAAGAGAGGTGCCAGAAAGACCACACGGCAAACATAGTGATGTGGCTGGACCACAACAACAGAACCCTACACGCGTGGCTGGATGAGAATGTCATGATCCTCTACAAGTTGCTGGAGGAGTATGATGGGGCCACGGACAGGTCCCTGGTAGACTACACAGAGATTCAGGTCAAGCTACTGGAGAACCACGTCAAAGTCCTAGAAGAGTTCCTACGCCGGACCCTGAGAGCCACCAATGCCTGGCTGGAAAGACATGCCAGGGGCAATGCAGGGCCCTCCGACAGACATGTCCAGTGTCCAGTGCAGGGTATATGTCTACAGGAGCAAGGCTCTGAAACGGCCCATGACCAGGGGCCAGAAGATAAATACATTGCAGCCATACAGAACTGGTTGGGGAACCATGTTGGCACCGTGAAAAGGTGGCTACAGGAGAACTTTGGAGGTCAATACCAAGAGAGCCTGATGTAGGGGTTCCATACTGTGCCCACAAGGAAGAACTGTGCACCCCCTCCACTGTGAGCAGCATATTACCCTGATCTATTCATCAGCCCGGGGGCAGCCACCTGCCCAGGGAGCAAGGACTGGAAAACACTAACACGAATAAACCTGAACGCCAGGCCTCTGCTCTCTGGCTTCTTCATTCACCTTTGTTGCACCGTCTTCAGTTCTCCTCCTTTACCCTCGTCTCCTCTCCCGCTCTGACGATCCCGTCAGTCCTCTCACACTGCGTCTTCCTCGTTACCCTGCCTTTCACCCCCTCTACCCCACACCCAGTACCCCTGTGCCCTGCCCTCCTTGGAGAGCCTCCAAAAGAGCCTGGGTAAGAGGGGAATGGAAAATCTGGTCAGAAATAGAGCCAGCCCAGGCCACGCCCCACAGCCCATGTTCCTGGAGAGCAAAAGGGTAATTTTTTCCTTCTGGTTTCTACTTCCCACCCTGTAGGCAATCCTCTTCCTTTGTTTTTGTGGTGTGATTTGCCATGCAATGCATTCTTAGTCACACGGGACTGATCAGCATGAGGGATCTCCCCTCTCCAGCAGTGTTCCCTGTAAGCTGTGTGTCTCCACTCAGGACCGATTCAAATGCCAGCCAGTTAATTAGTAGAGGGCCCACTGCTGGGTTTTGTGTTTCTACTGGTGGTGCACATTCACATGTCTTAGCACACACAAAAATTGATTCCGCCTCAGAGTGATGCTGGTTTTCGTCTGAGACGCTCTGGCCCGACAGTTTCGAAGTCTGAAAGGAAAATCGATTTCAGGAGATGCCAGAGTCCTGCATAAACCAAGCAAGCTCCCGATCCCCGGGCTAAATTTGGGTCCAATTCTGCTCGCAGGCACAATGGGGCAGCTTCCGTTGACTTTGCCAAGACCTGCCTCGGTGCTGCTGATGGCAGAATTCGGCCCTGTGGGAGTCGCCCGCCAGTGCAGCTCAGGTAGGGATCTGCACCTGTACACGGCAGGGGTTCAAAACCCCACTACGGATGCGGCAGCTCTGGCCCATCTCTGCATGCGGCCAGGTGTGCACTGCTGTGAGAGTTTGTGGTGGGAGCCCGACTTTTGAACCCCTAACTTCATGCCTATCGACAGGGGCGGGCAAAGGGGGCAGCTGCCCCCGGGCCCAGGGATACAGAAAGGACTTGGAGTTCCCAGCAGCAGTGGCAGCCAGAGCCTCAAGCCCTTTCAAGTGCTGCCAGAGCACCGCATGCCATGCTCCGGGCAGCTCTGAAGGCTGCCTGAGGGAGGTGGGGCCAAGGGCTGCCTGGTCCCGGCCCCGCCTCTTCCACCTCAGGCCCTGCCTCTTCTGGGTTTCTGGAGCAGCATTCCCCTCCCCGCCCCCGTCTTGCCCAGGGGCTCAGCAAGACCGTTAGCCCCACTGCCCAACCTCTGTTCCCATGGAAGCAGCCCATGGAAATCAGCTGAAAGAATCCCAGTGACTTGCCGAGGCCTGGAATTGAGCCCTTCTTTTCTAAGGCCTAGGTCCAGCAATGCAGCCCTGCCCAAGAGGCGCACAGCCTGGCACACGGACTTAACTTAAGCATGTGCTGCGTTGTCGGCACTGAGTCCACGCTCGGTGCTTCCTTGAATCAGGCCCACACGGACCGGAATGTGGCGGAAGTTTGGCCTTCGGCTCTAATTCCATTCAAAAGGCACAGACTACAAAGCATACCACAGCACCGTGGAAGCATGTCCACTGACATTTCAGCTACAGCCTACTGGCTCCCTCTTCTCTGTTTTTTGGGTGGAAAGGGAAATTCACAGGGTCAGGGCAGGCAGAGCAATTGCTTTTTAATGCAGTGCAGGATGCAAAACCCACTCGCAGCTAGCCAGAGAGTAATAGATATTAATGACACGGCCTTGCTCAAGCACAAAAATAGAAAATTTCCATTAATCAAGCTGCTTTGATGGCTCTCTCAACATGGAAATATTCTAAACCACTGGGGCTGTTCTAATAAAAAAAAAAAAAAAAAAAAAAAGATGCAGTGGCTATTGAAAGGCTTTTTCTAACCTGACTATAATTTTACTGATCTCAAGTCGTTGGACGGCTGCATTACTATTGTAACCCTTCTGTCGGATAGGCCCGGCAGCAACCAGGGCCGGGTTCAATATCTAGGGGTCCATCTCACACAGAACCAGCTTGAGCCCCCACCCAATAACCTGGGAAATTCGCATTCCCCTGGGCGCCTCAGAGGTACTGCTTCCCCGCTCGCAAGCACAGAGTATGAGTGTAGGAAAGAAACATTTAATGAAACAGAGAGAAGTCATACGGCATTAACTTGGGAAAATACCACAGAGTTCCTAGCCCAAACCACGAGCTAAGACCCCCACCCCCCAGCCAATAATCACCCAAAGTCCGACACCCCTGAAGTCTCTGTCCCTGGTCAGTGCCGCCCAGAGTCCAAAAGTTCACCTGCAGGGTTTTACCTCACAACCTGGGCGGAAAGGGGGCGGGAGGATAGATAGGAGCAGCTTACGTGGTCCGAGGCCAACGGCCCCACCTCTCCGCATGGTTCTGCTGCAGTCTTTAAGGCGAGCCACTCTGCCACACTCCACCAGCTGTCTCAGTCCGCTCAACGGTTGTTCCCACCGACCGCTCTGCTGGTCGCCTGCCGCGGCTCCTACCGGCCGCGCCGCTGGTCATCTGCTGCCATTCCTACTGGATGCCTGCCGGTCATTCCCACCAGCCACTCCACTGGCCACCGCCACTCCTACCAGCTGCCTGCTGGTCATTCCTGCCAGCCACTTCGCTGGCTGCAACAGGTCTGACTCCCAGCCAAAGCAGTGATTTCAGCTCTTCGTGATTTCAACTCTTTAGCCACCACCTAGACTGGCAAAATATTCCAGCTTCCACTGGACTAGCAAAAAGACTCCTCATGGAGTCTGCTTTAGGTCCATCCTTAAAACAAAGGGGGAAAAGGGCAGATTGGGCCAGTGTTACAGCTCACGTCTGGCAGGTGTGAAGCAGGCTGACTCAAGCCCGTTAGCCCTCCCCCCCAGCTCAGTCCACTCAACTCTGGAAGGGGGGAGGCTTGTTCCTCGGAGACCTCTTCCAATGATGGTGTCTCCCCTGCACGCACTGGTGTCATGTTTTCCAGTTCCCACATTTAGGGGTAGCATGATTTGTGACCCCCCACAACAGTACACCACATTCCATTCAACACTGATCCTCCAACAGCCCTGGCTGAACTGGATTTATATGGGCACACCTCGGATTCCTTCCCCCTCCTGGCATGAGCTGTATTTACATATCAACAGTTAATAGTTAATTATCTTGCAGAGCTAAACAATCGGAGTGAGCATACCCACGCCCAGGGCAGCTCTCTCCTTTTAGCTGGCTGGTAACAAGCAGTAGTTCAGCCCTGCTTACACCATAGTACCTGGACAATGTTAACTGTATTGATCCTGCAAGGTAGGGGAAATATCCCCATTTTACAGATGGGGAAATAAAGAAACTAAGGCCAAGATCCACAAGGGAACTTGAGCACTGCAACACCCAGTGTCACCACACCTAAGTTTAGGGGCCTAGAAATATCCCAGAGCTTAGGCTGCCTATGCAATGAATGGAGACAGACAGATACCTCAGAATGCCATTCACAAAAGTCATCCCCCTAGATAGACAATCACCTAAGCTAGTCAATGGGAGAGGGGCATATCCTGAGGCCTACTCCTCTCGGGAGATCATCCTCTAGTCTCTGCTAGTGAGTCACATATGGGAACCGCCTCTCCTGGTGTTTCTTGTGAGACTGACGGAGGCTGTTCTCTCGGGAGAGATACTTGAAGGGTCATTGGGCCGGAGAGACCACATGAGAATGACCCTGTCGTCCAATGGCTCAAGCCTCAGTGTGGGAGATCCAGGATCCTGCCCCCCACCTCCAGTAGCTAGTTATTTATACACCGCTTCACAGGAGAGATTCGGCTGTTTTGAGCTGGGGCTCCCTCAAAGTCCAGTGGTGTGAGTACGGTTCGGGGAGGTGTGGGAGACCCTGCTCAGTCTCCCCCATCCCACCCCAGCAGAGGCGGGAATTGAAAACGGGTCTCTAACATCCCCGCCGAGTGTTCTAACCGCTGGGATAAAAGCTCTCAGGTGGGGTCCCCTTTTTCAGACACCAGATTCTGAATGAGACACTCTGTGAGCCCGCCTACCGGACTGCGCCTCACACATGGGTTAGGCAGACGACCGCCTGCCTTCCCCAACCTGCAATTCGTCTGGGGCTTCGGCAACAGACAGGCACCCAGAGGGAGGCAGCAACGTTCAGCCCCAGAAGAAAAAAACCTGGGTACTGAGACACCATTTAACCTGAAAATCACGTGAATTTAGCTGCCTCGGGGGTTCAATGAGAGTTTTGTGAAACTCTGTGGTCCCAAAACCGGGGCTCAGGCAAGCCTGCTTCTCCACACGAACACAAAGTCTGCAGCAACGCCACAGTCTGTCAGCTCACAACCTAACACATTAGCCACTAGGGCATACTTCCCTCAACATTCCCCCTCTGCTCTTGATACTATATTAGCAAACTAGCAGGCTTACCTGGCGTTGCCTGGGTCCTTCAGGGCAAGACCTTGGAGATGTGGGGGGAGTCCAGGAGGCTGGGGGCCAGGGGCCTGTTCTCCCACCACTAGCACCACCACAGGCCTGTTCTCTCTCCCCTACCATCCCCCCACTGCACCGGGGGCTGGTTCTTTCCTCCACCAGGCCTCCTCCAACCTACCAGGAGCCTTTTTTCTCCCTCCTCCAAGGTAGCCGGGGGGCTACTTACGTGTGTGCAGACAGGCAAGATGGCAGAGCCCCAGCCCCTTGGGGGTACAGCTGCCCTCAGAGGACACACTGCAGGATCGCTCCCCCCTGCGGGCTCGCGGCCTCCAGTGGCCACTCTCATATCATCCCTTCCCCCAGCAGCAGCCCCTCCCTTTGCATGTTATGGAAATCAGTCCTTTTCCTGGAGCTCCTGGTTGTCCCGGCACAACCAATCCGTGACCTTGCTTTAAGTAGGGAGAAGAGGAAGCTGCCTATCAAATGTGGTGGCTCTGGCTCTTACCAGTCAGGAGGAGTTCTTGAACAAACAGACCTACTCTAAAATGCAGACTGACACTTCACGCCACAATTCCGGCACCCATCATTCCGCCTGCCACATGGGAGGGAAAAGCCAAGTGTTCCTACAGGCA